AGAATTGTTTTCCAAGTTTCTAGTTTTTTTTTGTAAATTAATGACATCCAGCCCTGGCAATAAAAGCCTTGCCTTGTTTCTCCAAAGAAGGGATTGGGAAGCATTTTCTGGTTTCCTAGCAATGGTTTCACTGTCAGTTTTGCATAGAGCCAGTTGAGAAGATGCTGTCCTATTAGCTAAGATTTTATTTGGAGTTTTAACTGCTTACTCTGAGAGATGGAACAAAATCTATCCCGTCTAAAGCCTGTAAATTACCATTCCGTGGCTTAGATTGGAGAACCTTTTTTAAATTGAGCTTAGAAAACTGACTCTGTCTAAATGCCGTCTGGGCTCTTGTATTTATTGCTTCTCAAGGACTTCCAGATCAGACTGCTTGCATGGGAAAAAAACAAAACATACTTTTTGTGTTGACTTCCCAGAGTTAGACCTTGAAAACCCAGCTCTTTCTATGCTTGCAACAAGCAATTAAAAGCTTTCAGTTAGACCATGGTAGACAAAGTTATTGAGGCAAAATTCATAGTACATTATGTCCCCTTTTACCCTGTATCATCTTGATAGTTTAGCTATATTTATTTTAAAAATCCACCTCCTTAATTTAGTGAGCAAAGTAGATGAGGAACAAAGGCACATGGGAATCAGATAAGATAAATTATAAGATATCTTCAAAGCAATGTGAGGACTCACCACTCGAGTAGGGAAAAATAAACTCTCACCGATCCCTTTTTCGAACTTTTTCCTTGGGACTTGTTTTATTTCTGAAACAAAAAACCCAACAAACCAGAGAGAGAGAAAACACTTCACACTGTTGAGGTAATGAACACACAACATTTTTCCATCTTCAGCCAACAAGAAATCGTCATCTCCTGTACATTGTGTTTGTCTTGCCTTTTACAGCTCTTCTAGATCAGCTTCACCAGACACAGAAATCCAGATGTACGTACTGGAGCACGTAATGCTAAGCACTTATTAATAGCTGAACACTGGCAGTTTTAAGATTTTGCAGCTCTTTGCTGTATGCCCAACCCATTCTGTTGGGCCTGGCCACCCCAAAACAGATAGCGTGGATGGGAGTTGTGCACGCACCTTAGTCTCTATGGAAAAATATCTATTGATGTAGTTCACAAAAACGACGAAAGGAGGGTTCAGCTGCAATACCTGGTTTTGCCCAGTCGGGGTTTGTTCCCTGTGATGGTTGGTTTAGCTTATTTTTAATTCCACAAAAGATGAGGGTTTTCATCGCTTCCCAAGGAAAGCTGTTTGAAAGTCCAGTGGAGCCCCACAGACAGCATAGCACTCTTTTCCATTCTTTACGTTTGCTTACTCTCGTAGAAGTTTCAAATGCAAAACAGCCATCTTGATATGTAAAGTAACCTTCATCACTTTGGCTGCTCAATCAAAAAGTGCCGTAGGTGTCCAGGTTGCATTTGTTATTGGTGAGCAGTGCACACAGGGTGCGATTGCTTGCTAGCTGCTCTGCATATGAGCAGCTCTTATCGCTGGAGGCTGCACTGCAATGATTGATCAGGCTTAAGAAGCTTTTTATTAGCAAGGGGGGGTGAAAGTTACTACTTTAGGAATCAGGTGACCCAGAACCATCTCTGCAGCACAGAGGAAAACATCCCTCTCTGTTCACACTCCTCTAATTACATTTAGTGTTGTATTGTTTCCATCTAAATTATAGCAATTATATACAAAGATCTCCTTTGAAATCATTTAATTAAAGAGTAGCTAATGCTCTGTGCTTTTGGAATGCTAATATATTGCCTTCCACTTAGGAAGCCTTGTTTTTTCCATTAATTATCGTTATCATGGAGAATTTCAATGGCAGAGGGGTTTTTTAGCTTGTTTTAATAGATTTAACATGCAAGTGGTTCTGGCGATTTTTGTAGTTTGTAAAGCACAAAGAAGCCTTTTGCTGTCTTGTTGGACAGTTGGCTAAGGGTCAGTCTGAGGATCAACATTTTCCTTGATGCATTGGCTGCGGAAGTATTTGGTCTCTCCAGCCCTGTTATCTTCTGGGTTCAGGCAAGTGTTTATGTTTGATTATGTTCTCCTCTCCCCTCGCCTATGTTTTCTGTGTAATAAACACCCAAGTCAAATCCTGAACTGGTATAAATCTGCTGGACTAAATGATTTCTGCCTGCTGAGTTGCTGCTTTGTGGGAATGACATTTCAGTCATGCATCACATCCAGGACAAACAAGATTCATGGGAGGGCTGCCCAGCTGTGCGATAATACCGTAACAAGACATGCAGTCTGTAAGAGCATGTGCTGAAAGCAGTTGTGGCATAGGAGCTAGTGGGATTTATCCAATGCCAAGGGAAAGTGAGCAGGGGAGCTGGAGTTAGAATTCCTACTTGAGTACCGTTTTGGATGCATTGTGCGTTCCCCCTCTGTGCTATTTCCTATTCCTCCCTTCTCCATCCTTGTCTCAACAAGTGTCCTGGCATCCCATATTGCTGTGGTTTCTGTGGGTTGATTTTGGTAGAGGATGTGCCTTCTCTGTTGAGGAACAGGAATTACAGTTTATTCTGTAGCTTTGGCTGAATGTAGTGGTGTTTCCTATCACTAATACCCCACGGTTAAGACTATACTAAGAAACATTCTGAAGAGCCAGCAACAATCTACTTAATAAATCAGTTCCTACACACAAGTCCTTCCCCACCTGCTCATTTCTAACCTATGTGTGCAATTGTCACAGGTGGTTCTTGCATTGTATCCTCTCCCCTTCTTGTCAGCTTCTTGGAGCTTGCCTCTGTGAGACAGAACTCAGATATAGAAAGGTGTACGCAGCAAACCCACAACTCCAGTCTCTCGGATTTCCCCCACCCTCCTTTCTCTCCCTGATACCCATGAGCCAAGACAGGTCTAAATGAGAGAACATGACTGATTCCTGGATGATCTCTGCTTTACAAAAAACAGCACAATGTAGAGGAGTTTTGGTGAAGGCTAGAGTCTGCAGGAGTAGTTTGGGCAGTGAGAGGAGAGGAAAGCCAACAACCCTGTGTGATTACAGAGTAAATTAAAATGAAGTAAAGAATGGCAGCACACTGGGGAGACAGCAGGATCTGGACTGCAGTCAGTGCTTGGAAACGCAATAGAAGTTTTATCTTTTGTTTTCTTTTTTCTTTTTTGCTTTCATAGGGATATTTGTAAATCATCTCTCTCTTTTTTAGCCTGGAATAATTAAGAAAAAAAACCTTTAATCTCTTAAGTGGTTTGGGTAAAACTGCAGGTTAGTGAAAACTTTAGTATAAGGAAAAAATGCATTCTTTCTCTGCCCTCTAAATCTTGTAATAAGGGTGATACAATGACATTTGCGGCTTCTGACACTTCTGAGTGTCAGAAAAGATTTGGGTTTCAGTACATACAGAATTCTTAAAATCTGGAACTTGTATTTTAAATTAGTTTTCAGGTTCTTTTATATACTTGTTTGAGATAGCCAAGGAGTTGTCGTGTTATAATGACGAAGCAACTTGATCACTGTTGTTTTTTTGTTGTTTGTGTACTGAGATGTTCTCCCTGCCAATGAGAAGCTGTAGTTTTGTTAGTGGCTTTTAAAGTCTGCTCACCCATATCCCTGCCCCAATCTCCTCCTATTACACACCTCTTTGGAAATCCAGCTGCAGCTGATTGAAAAGCTGCTCCTTACTGAGAAAATCGCAGCTGGCCAAGGGAATAGGAAGCTGTTACTTGATCAAAAATTGAACACTCTGCAGAACTCATGCAACAGATGGATGGAGTTTTTTATCTGAGTAACGAGTGTTATTTATTAATTAAACCATGTTTTAAAGCTATGATTTTGATTTCTTTGGTGAAGGCACAAGCTTCCAACATGTAGAGTCCTTTAGAATTTGTGGTGATGGTACTTTAGCGATGTATACCATCAGTCCTCATTGTTACTTTGGTCCTTCCCTTCCAGACACTTAAGCATGCACATAGCTTTCCCTGCGGGTGAAACAGTGCCATATAGTTAGTGGCATTTAGAGAGACTTGTATTCAATAACCAGCTCTGCTGCTGAAGTTCTGGTCCAAGCTTGGGCAGCAGTCTCTGGTGGTATTCAGTTTTGTATGATCTCTTTCATCACCCCATTAGTAACAGATCTGTGCCTCAATTCTAAATTACAGTCTGAGTCCTCTCACTATTTTTTGAGTGCTGACCCTTCAGCTCCAACTGCTCCTGTACACTGCCTTAGTACAAGACTTGTGGTGCCCTGGAATTTTGCTGGAAAACGTGTCATTTTCATCTGGCAAATCAACTTCTTACTTAGCTAGGTGAACCGTGGAGCGTAATCAGTGAATGCTGATTATGAGTATTCTATTCAAAAGAATTAAGAAAAAACTACTGGTAACTTAATAGTGATGATCATTTATAATTCCACTCCTACTAGCCACAGTCCAGCATTCAGCAGGTGGAACGGAGGCTGCAGTCTTTGCAGGTCACTCGCCTACAGCCCGAGTCCCAAACATGCTATTTCAGGTGTTTCTTTTACAATTCCTTAAGTAGTAAGTTTGTGCAACACTAAAGTTCAGAAGTAAAGAAACAGAGATAGCTAAGAAAGGCTTGATTTTGAGACAACCAAACCCACATATTCTTGAGAATAGCTCTGTTTACGTTAGACACATTACTTTCTAGTCCGGTTGTTTATTGTTCTGAGTGATACCTAGCTGTCTGTATTAGCCTTGGGGCCTGTTGTACTAAGTACTAGAGGCCTGGAAGACCTTCCATCACAGGCTGTGCAAGGGGTCAGGCAAAGGCTAAACAAATGCAGGATGTTAAAGGAACAGGAAAATGTTATTAATGACTGAATATAATTTTCTGGCATCAAGCTCCAAGACTATGTATTGGTTTCTGCAGCTGAGATTCGTGAGGAATTATTTGCTTAATCAAGCTCCAAGACTATGTATTGGTTTCTGCAGGAACGAATGAAGTTTCTTCTTAACGGAAGCATATCTCTGCCTGACTCTAGCTCTTTCTTTTTTTCCTTTCCTATGCTCAGAGTTTTTGGGCACTTCAGTCTCCGTTCTGAATGGCAGCTGGTCAAGGTGGACTACAAGTCTGTCTTCAGCCGGAGGTGTAACAAAGATGACTACCAAACCTGGCATCTGCATAATCAGGTATTCCCATTGTGTAAGGAGGGGATGAGGGGGGCTTTTTTCTCCGTACTTTGCATCGCCAGGTAGGAATGTATTTGTTCTTTTCAGCAGAGCATATGGATTTTTTGCATCCATCAAGTCACAGTTCTAACCTGTTGATGATTTACTTCCTCTGAAGCGTATGGATAAACATGGGGCCAGTCTTCTCCGGGCAAGTTAGGGAGATTGTTAACTTCTTTTTGTATGAAAATATTCCATTGCACCAGCTGGATCTTCTTGCCCTCAGTGCAATGTAAAACCTCACCTTGTGATTGAATTGTAGGAGACATTGAACTCTTTGTAGCTCTGTCAGTGACTCATGAAAATAATTTTATTTCATTTTGCCTGTCTTTTCCCTACTCAAAAATGAAAATGAAAACATTTATTCATCCTGTAGGTCCTGCAGGTGTATGTAAAACTCTGGGGAGCCTTGAATAAAAGACACCAGAGAAGACCAAATTATTTTATTTTATTCAAGGATACATGCTTTGCTTTTCATACACTCTCGCTTATTTTCATGCTGGATATATTTAGGTCCTGAAGCCATTTTAACTGAGAGAGCTCAGTACCCTCTGAAGATTACTTATGGGTTACTGGCCAGCAGTATGATGTCCCGCTCCCTGTAAGGCAACGTAACTAGAGCCAGAACTACTGGCACTGTGATATTCCTGAATGAAATTCATGAATTAGAAATAAGCATTTATTTGACAAGGATTTATCACGTAACTGAAGTCATAGAATTGAATAAATGAAAATAATTTAAATGAAAAACAAAGGAAGATGTGTGTAACCAGGCAGCCATCTTGGGAATCACTGTTAATGGGAATAAGAAGTGTTTCAATTAGGTGTTGTCTTTTTTTCTTACTTCTATGCAGACAAATTACTTCTGCATTGGAGAAAATTCTGTTTATAGGAACTCACCTAAATGTCAAATATTTCTTTTACATTAGCTACTCCCAGTAGTGGTTTTGGAACCTTTGTGTTCAAAAAGCCCAGTATAACACATCATCAAAGTTATTTGAGGTCTATAACAAAGCCAGGTCTGTCAAGGTAAGAGGAGGAGAGCCAGGACTCCTGGGTTCTGCACATAGATTTAGTCCCTGCCCTGGGTTTTGGGCTTGAGCACTTTTTCCCATAGTAGATTTCATCTGACATATGGAAGGAACTCTGGAGTACATCCACATTGTCTTTTCAGGATAATTTGTAGGACTAGGTAATTTGGTGGATGCCTTCTGAAATACAGCATAACTCAGTGCCTGAGATGGCTCGGGCACCTAGGCATTTTGGGCACATTGTCGTTAGTATCCCAACTCAGTGCTGAACACACTGCACTCATGGGTCCTTCCAAGGCAGCTTTTGAGTTTGCAAAGTCACAGAAGGGAGCTAAACTCAGCTCCCAACTCTCCCAGTGGTAATTGCATGCTTTCATTGCCTTTTGTGTCTTTTGACAAAATGGTCCATTCAGGGCCCACCTGCTGCTACAACTCTGTGTTTTGCTTTCTCTTCTTGTTCCTTGGCTGCTGAAGGGGGAGCCTTGTGTCATGGGAGAGAGGAAGATCTATAAAAAACGCAAGCCTGGAGCCCAGTGTTCCTTAGGTCGGGACTATTCCCAAACTGTGGTGTCTGAACCATGTGTCTGCGGTCAAGGAGACTTTGAGTGGTGAGTATGTGTCTCTGGGGAGTTTTGCAGGGACTGTTCTTCTACCATTGGCGGTGACCGAGCTACTGCCCAGACAGAAAACCTTGCAGCAAGACTGGGTCTCGTGCAGCTTTGTGGCTGTGATCGTACCATATGGCATAGAGGTGATCCCCATACCTGTGTGTGAAGGAGGTATCCTCTTCATCTGCAGGAGAGATTTATTAATCTCCATGAGAAATCCAAGTCTGGAATTCAAAAGCAGAAAATTGCAAGTGCTGATTGACTTTTTTTGTCCACCATTCCAGAAGAGTGACAGCCAGGACTCTTTTCTGGTCCCAAGCATGCCCCTTACAGGAGAAAGAGAGAATTCCTCTGTCCTCACTTCCAAGGTCATTGAATACCTAGGGAGCAAGCTAGCAAAATATGCCCATTTTCATCATTATTCCTTTGAATTCCTGGGAACCATTTGTGGCTTTTTAGCAATGTTTTATTGAGAAATTTCTGAAAGGGCTTCTGTGACATGACTGTACAGCCCACCCTTGTCAGATGTAGCTACTTGTTTTGCATAAATATTGGTGTTTCTAACTTAATGGGGCCATAATTTCCAAATGACTTTAAGGTCACTTTGAAAGCGGCTTAAAAAGAAAACAAGGGAAAAATGAACCACTGCTTGATATTGCTTGACAATCAGAGATAGGAGATGGGAGAATGCATAATGGTCAGGATCTCTGCACAAGGAATTCCTGCAGGGAACCTGTGATAGGCAATATTTCAAAGATTTAAGGCTGTCAATAGCTGTGATATTTGAGCTTAAATGATCAGAATGTCATTTAAATGGAGTTCAAAATACCCTTAAAGCAGATCTGCTGAGAAAACATTTTCATTTTTATAGTATGTTATCAGCATCAGTGCCTGGTTCTGTATCAGTGTGATTCCTGAAAACTTCACTTACCTTTGAACCCTTCCTGAAGATTTGTGGGACATGAGAGCTGCACTCTTATTTGGACTGAGGCCAGCCGAGACTCACCATTCTTTTGAGAACACAGACGCACTGAAATGCAACAAAAAATAATAAAAAATATAGACCAAAATGTTTTCTTGAATATTGGAGTATTTTGGCTCTAAGAGGGTTTTGGAGATATAGAGCAGAGATTTTAATCTTATCTGGATGGATGTTTAATTTGTTCCTAATGCCAAAATTACATTTGAGACTCTTTAGTGTGACTCAGGAGATCTTTCTTCTTTGTTCTCATCATGGGAGCTTGTGGGATGAACAAACTGCAGTATCTGCCCTTGGCATTGGTATATGCCTCTGAGCTGAACCAAGCACCAATCTCCAGAGATGCTTATGAATTTGCTCTTTTTTCTTTTTTTTTAAACACGTCTTTGTGCCTCACTAGCTTTCTATTTTCATAGTGAAGTTTGTCTTTTCTAAGCCTGAAGTGGAAAACTGTGGTAGCTAAATTGGCCTTAAGTGCTATTCTGCCTTGAAAAAGGTCTGCATCAGAATGCACCTTTTCAATCCATTGATGTGTTCCTTGCATGTGTTCAGTATCATTTTTGCTTAACTTTCCCACTAACATGAGAGAATATTGCTGTTAACCTTGTCAGTCCTGTAGAGGAAACGCAGTTAGAGGACAGCAAGCTGGCTTTTTTTTTTTTCCAGACTCTGCACTGCTAACAGAATTGTTAACTGACTTCCAATTGCAAAATTACTATAGCTGGTGATGGAGAATTAGAAGAACCAGCTTCAGTTTAAGGGTGAGTTTTGATACTAGTTTGCAGGGCTGACTGGAAGAAGGTGTGGGGCAATCAGTTTGAAGAAAACACTAGCAGTGCTGGAAATGGGGTGCCAAGCTTGATTATCCTGAAAGTAATTTTCAAAGAGGAAGTATGGACTCATCTGCTCTGACTTGTGACTTCTAAAGGATGAGACTGTTATTTAGTCAGTGGCAAGATACAGGTTATTCTAGAATATGATTCATCTGCCTTCTTTTGATTGTCAATATGGGAAGGAGACATGCTGAGAAGCATCTTTTCTCTCTGCTGACTGGAAGAAGGCTCTAGACAGGGAGCTTATTGAGATACATCCTCACTGTAGGTATCTACAGTTGGAAGGACAGCTCCTACTATTTCATTTGGTGCTTTTGAAAAGGAAATATGTCCACTCAGCCTTTTTTGGCTGGGTTCACAATTGCCAGTTGTTCTCGTAAGCACTGGCTGGCCTGTGTCGTGTGTGAACTGAGCAGGTCCTGCAGAGAGTCAGGGAAAGGAGCACGGTCAGCAGCTGGGGTTGTGCGAGTACACTGACAAGCAGGTCCCAACAGACAGGCCCTCTGCTGCCCCAGTAAGAAGGTTTGGATTCTTGTTCTGGTCACAGAGCATCCCATGCTACTAGCTGTGATGACGCCTGTCTCTGAGAGCTGTGCAGACAGGACAAATGACTGTAGGAGCCCTACAACACAAGCTGTGAGGGTTGTGCTCCCTCCCATTCAGTCACAGCACCCTTGCCTTTGTCTGCCTCATGCTGCAGTGCTATTTCCTATTGTTAGATATAGGGCTGATCTGAATTTCAGATGCATAAACCATGATCCAGATCCCCAGTTCAACAAATCCTCATGAGTCAAGATCAGGGGTGACTCCTGCCCATCCTCACAATCACTTTCAAAAGCAAACCCTGGCCTTTTTCTGGCAGAGAAAATGGCAGAAGGAACTCAGAAGTGTTATTAAAATGCTCACTGATCTTTCTTTTCCCTCCTCCTGCTTCTTTATTTACTCTGTCAAGACAGCTTTCTTGAGAAAGACAGCGTAGCAGCTGGACTTGATTATTTCCTTAACTTATGCAAACCCTGGGGCTTATGAGAAGGAAGGTGGGCAGCATGCGAGGTTTTAATATACATTTACCAGAAGTTAATGAACAAGCACAGAACCTTGAGGGCATACAGCAATGTTGTCTTTAATTTTATTAAATATTTATGCAGCTCTTTTCTTCTTTGGGGCAAAGTACAGCTCCTCCTGAATATTTTTAATTACCAAGTCACTGCCAGGCATTTTTTAACTGTGCAGGTCGGACCCACTGAGAATGATTAAATTGAATGTTGAGAGAAAGAACATTAGGGAATCTCCAAACCTTTTAAAGTAGCTTGCAGAAATTTTGCCCTCAAAACCAGAAACAGTAGCGGCCTGGGTCACTGGGGACATAGCACAATTTTGTCTCACCAAAGCTCTTCCTAGAGACTTTCTGTTGGCAGTTCAGACTCTGAATAGGGAAAGGATATAATTCAGTGTCCTAAAGGGCACAGAGAGCTTTCAAGGCAGTGGCTTCTGTAGTGTCTGCGTTTTCACGGAGACTTGGTCTGTTGGCATTTGTTAACCTGCTTCAGGCAAAAATCCAGAATCCCTTTTTATTTGCCCCTTGAATCTAGCTGCCAATAAAGGCTATGCATAGAAACCTGATCCAGAGCCCATTAAAACTTATGGAAAGCTTTGGATTAATCTTATTGCTTCACCATTGTATTGGCATGCAAAGGCAGCTGTAAAAAGAAGTCTTGGATGTGCTTGTGTGCGCTTCCACTCTTTGGTGGTCCAAGGAAGCATTAATACCCTGGATTACCTTCCTCATGTGACACCATATCATGTAATCCTTAGACTACCAAATTGGCTGTGTTGTTTTAGTTTAGTGTTGGAAAAACATCAGCTCTTGTTTTCTATCAGGCCAGTCATAGCTCAGTCAAAGAGCACGGAGGCCATTAACATACATGAATATGCATACCTTGCCTGGTTGTTCAGAAGTGCTCCTAATGTTTTATACTCTTAACTGCTTCGTTGGAAAAAAGTGACGTTAAATCTTGGAATTGTTGTGGTTTGTTCTGAAAGCAAAAACTGCAAAAAGCAAGCCAACCAAAATAACCCATCAAGTGAAATTATTAGAGATTAATAGGAAATGAAAATTAACAACACAATTTTCTTTCTGAATCTCTGCCCATGTTTTGTTACCAAATGAAACACAAGTCCTCCAGTGCTCTGCAAGGCTGGTAGTTCTGGTGTTGTCAGGTATCACATACCTTCTGTGAACTGTTCCTGCTCAAAGTGATCAAGCACTTTGTCTTTGGATGAGCCCAATCCATGATGTTGTGCCATCCAGCAGAGAGCCACCAACACACACATGCTTTGGGGAACAGAAACATCGCTTAGAACTTTGAGCTAAATGCAGTGAATAGGTACAGTGATGCATTCCTTACTTGTCTCCGTAGTGACTATGGATATGAGAGACACAGTAACAACCAGTGTGTCCCAGCCTTCTGGTTCAGCCCGTCCTCCCTGTCCAAGGATTGCAGCATTGGTCAGAGCTACTTGAACAGCACTGGGTAAGTGAATCTTGCAATCTCTCTGGTTTTGGTGACCTTGCAGTAGTCAAGAGAACCTGGATGGTTCTTTTTTCTCTGCCTCTTTCCTGGCTCATTTCCAGTCTTATTCGTGAGGTAATGTTTACAGCAGCATCTGTATGGAACATTGCCTCATCCCTCAGAGGCAGGGAGAAGCACATTAACATAAGTGACAGGTAGATATTGTATTGCTATCAAGTGATGTATGATCCCTGGAGCCTAGACGTGGAGCTCCCCTTTGCTGCAAGATTAAAACACGAATCGAGAAGGTCTATCTGAGAGACAGCTGAACATTTAAAAGGACAGGTTCAAGGTATTTCACATTGTTTTTCATTGAACCTCTTCCTATCTTACAGCTCCTATTTATAACAGCTTCTGGAGAGGCTTAAATGAGCAATTTTTAGCCTCACTTTTTTTTACTCTGCCGTTTTCACTTTGTATATACAATGCCTTGAGATTTCAGACAAGCTACATGTGCTCGTTTCTCGTGGTTTTACCCAGAACAGATGGCAAGTGTTGGTTTATTACAGTAGTATTGCTTTGCAAATGCTATTCCGTTGTGCGGGGGATACTCTGAAGCTCTGGTTTCACTGCCTGGTGCAAAATTGCGATGTTCCTTCTCAGGCAGTGCAAGCTCTGAAGACTTTGCAGGGCTGCTTCTGAGTCACGGGTCCTGTCTGGTCGATCGTTGTGACAGGGTTGTTCGTGGCTGCTTGCTGCCGGTGGCTGAACAAAGTGAGGCTCCTGGGAGTCTGGAGTCAACTTAACTTCAGAGACTCCCTTTCCACTGAAAGGTTGCTATAAGTATGGGATGTAATTACAGCAGCCCTGGCCAGTATGACTGCTTGCAGCCCTCTTATTTCAGAGAGCAATAAGAAAATAGTTGGGGTCTGTGTCTTCTTAACCAATCCTGTATTTTTACTGTGAAATTACTAGAAAGGGTTAATCTTCCTCAACAATACCAGGAATAGCCAACTGTCTTCCTAGTTAGCTAACCTCTTCCAAGAAGAGTGTCCTGGTTTTGACGGGGACAGAGTTAGTTTTTCTTTTTAGCAGCTAGAAGAGCTCTGTGTTTTGAATTTAGAATGGGATTTGAGAATGGGAATTGAGAAGAATGTTGGTAGCGCACTGATGTTTATGGTTGGTGCTGAGACAGCAAGGACCTATCAACTTCCCATGTTTTGCCAGTGTGCAGAAGCACAACAGGCTGGCGGGGGAACACAGCCAGGACAAAAGATCCACAACTCCCCTTACAATTTGAACTTAGATTTAGGTTTGAGGGCTAAATTGGCCAATGGAGTATTCCGTATCATGCTACAGTACTTTAGTCTGAATTTGATGGGCCACAAGCATGTTTCTGGAAAGTTACTATAAAATTTCATATAGATTTCATTATGTTTGTACCTCATGCTGATATATTCTCACAGTGAGAAGATTTATTAACCTGACTAATACAGAAAAACCTATTCCTTGAATCATTTGAAAACTGGACTGGACAAGGCTCTTGGCAGATCATTCCAAGTGCTTTCTAGCAGACAAGAGGCAGACAAAATGTAATAAAAAGCACAATTAAAAAGCTGGGATGCAGGGTGCAATCCTGCAGGCACAAGGAGTTGGGGGAGTTCTCTGCCTTTTAGCAGTACAGAATAATTCACCCCCACAATGTGTGTCTGTTCTCAGGGATGCTGCTGAGAATCTCTGGAGAAGGTTGGATTATTGGATTATGATTTGTTTGGCTTTCTCCAATATAATAAAGTGTTAGATTTCTTTGATTCTTCCTTTCAGTGAGGGAATCATACTGGCAGTTAGCCCTTGAAAAAACACATGCATTAATATGGAGAAACAAACCAAAAACAAAACAAAGAAACTTTTCCGCCCACCACCTGAGCCCAGTCTGCTTTTTTACTGTTCCCCAGGTACCGAAGGATTGTGTCTAACAACTGCACAGATGGCTTGCGAGAGAAGTACATGGCCAAGATGGAGAAATGCCCTGGGAAAGCACCTCGGGGACTGCACATCCTCACTACTGATGGAAAGTTGGTCATGGAGCAGGGACACAATGCCACCTTCATCATCCTTATGGAAGAGGTTTGTTAGCGGGCTCAGGAAACCTTTCACTGTGTGGCAAGACTGGTGCCCTTTTCCTAAATCTGTCAGGCTGCTGAGAGAAAAATAGCTATCAGGTGGGGTCATGAAATGATGAACACTCCTGAGATTTAGGACAATTAATGAAAGAGGGCTATATGTGAAACATACAAGCCAATCATGTTGGGTCAAGACAAAGGACTATTTGGCCGGTTATCTTGTCTACAAGAGATGATAAAGCCAATGCTGAAGAAAGATAGATCTGGTCAAAAATATATTTCCCCACTAGCTTCTTGCTACCTCCAGTGAACTGCAATTTATGAAGTTTGTGAGGCACAAACTGTGTCTTCATGCTTAATAATTCTGATTTTGGGATGAAAAGCTTTAGCTGAAGCTTTGTTGGGAAAGGTTAAGAACAGTGGGGAACATTTTCAGACCCACAAGGAGCAGTGAGGGACATTATTGTTTTGCAGTAGGAACTGAGCCTCCTCAAGCCACCTCTGAGCTCCCCAGTCCGTATGTGTTTTATTTATAATGTGGTATGATTCCCTCTGTAGCCAACAGCAGCATAAGTTATACCAGACCATGCTGGTGCCTGAAGCACCAAAATACTGAGGCACTTCTGGTGATCTCTCTGAGTCAGGTACCCGTCTGTTTGGCAAACGTGTGGTGCAGCCTGTGTCACCAAGGCTTGTGACTCAGTGGAGGCTTGGATAGCTAAGGAAGGCACTTGGTATGTATTCTGGCTGACAAGAGTGTTTTTCAAATGATCTCATGCCTCTTCAGGTCTGTGATTTGATTTGGTGTTTAGGGATATAAGTGACGGCTCCACCAAAACCCCTGCTGTGTTTGCAGCTGCTACATTCCCCTGCTGGCTTTTAACTGCCCATGGAAGGTGTCACTGGAGTTCCAACAGTGATTTTCCCACAATGGCTTGTGTTACATCTGTTTTCTGGCTAAACAGAAGGGTCAACTCAGAATCTCACTTCTTACATATTTGGGTGTCTCAGGAGGGTCAGCCAGGGAGTGAGGTGGTGTTGGAGAGACAGAAGTACACTTTGTCATCTACTCTGTCCTGTGTACTTCGTTTTGGGAGAGTACCTGGAGACAGCAGGGAGCCAGATATGTCATGGTCACAAACATAAGAATAATGACACCAAGACAAACTAGATGCCTGTCTCCTGAGTATCCTGCCTCTGACAACAAGCAACAGTAGATCTCTAAGGAAATCGTATTAGAAACAGGGGAAGCCTAGTGTCTAGTGTCCCTTCCCCTTCCAGTCCCTGGAGTAGCTTCCAGTGGCAACGAAGACATTCAGGAATACAAGAAGCTGTTTTAAGTCTGAGCATACTACCACAGAGAAGTTTTTTTCTTCTGATATCTTATTAGGTTTTTTTTAAACATACACTTCTATTAGTTTAAATTCTTATACAGTAACTAAATGTTTCATTGGGACCACACTAATCTGACAGGGCCTTTTTACATACTTCCTCAGAGGTTCATGCATGCTCTGCTTTTATACAAAGGGGATTTCTTGTCTACCTGGCTGATTCTTTTATATTCCGCAGACTTGACACGGTAAGACAATTTGTATAGACACTGTGAGTGGGAGTTCAGAAAAGCACAGACATAATCTAAAAATTAGGAATCTAGTAGTAATTTATTAAGAAACTCAAGCGGAACCGCTGCATACAAAGAATGATAAACAGGTGGGGAATAAAGCAGCAGTCAAGGTAGCTGAAGAATGGAGTCTTTATGAGGCTGTAGAGATTGAAGAGGCAGCTGAATAAATATGTGAGGGCGTTCACTCTATGTCCTTTGTTGAAAAATAAGGATAGTTAGAAAAACATTTCATTGAAACAATTTTTTTTAAGGGAAGAGGATTTTCGAGAACATGTCTTTGCGGGTGAACAGCTTATTCCACAGAGAGTTGTGTATTGAGTTTTTTCTTAAAAGAATAGATATTTTAAGAGGGGGGTGGGGGGGAAACCCACCACTGAGATTTTGGGCAAAAGCATTCCAGTCTTTCAGTGTGAACCTGAGACGAATGAATTGTCATCAAAGTATTCCTCATTAGTTGAAAGAAGTAATTTTTGTAAAAGTCTTAATTATTAAATACCTTGCTGTCATACAGATTCACTTCTGCCTCCCTCCACCTTCTCTGGTCAGTCTGATTCCTGGTGGGTTGTTTTGCATGTATGTCTACACTCACATTCTGAGCCAAACAGCAGCCTGACGAGCCCTCCTATGGATACATCTGTGTGGTCTCCATGCAGCCCTCCGACTGTTTCAGACTAACCCTGATCAGCGACTTTGTGATTAGTCATCAGTTTCTTTCTGCCTTCTAGTACACACCCTCAATGTATTGATGTGACTGACCTTTATGCTCTCCAATGGTAAATGAAGACTTTATCACAGTTAATTGAAAACTAAATTTTTCAGAATTTATAAACTTAGCTTTTGTAGTATTGTTCACAGTGGTAATTCAGAACATTTGCATCGCAATGACAACGGACAAAGAGATGCAGAATGACTGGTGATTTTGCTGCGTTTTTAGAAATATGAGGTTGGACTGTGATTTGGACTGTGTATACATGCGAGAGAACATGAGGAGATAAGAACCATTTTTTACCTTTTTTCTTCTTTTAAACCAAGTTTGAGTTTGAGCACAAAGAAATAATAGACTGCCGAATTGCTGTTGTATGGAGTTGTGTTCGGGACCAGATCTATGAATCTGTTTTTGCACCTGATGTGTGCCGTGCATCCCCCACTCCCCTCTGAAGGGTACATGCACTCCCCTCAGGCCTAAATGGTTGCTTATGTGGCCGGTCCAGTTACTAAACTGTTCAGTTGCCTCGTCTTCTGTTTATGCCATCTCATGGCTTCCCTCCTTCAGTACTTACCAGCTGATGGCAAGGCTTTGTAACAGCGTTGTAATTGCATGTGAGCTGATATAGCAGGCAGTGACTAATCAAAGAACAAGCCTGGAGCTCTGCACTTCTGTTAGAAGATTGGTAAACTGTATTTATAGAGAGCGCCACATCCATGTCATATTTTTATGCAAACAATTTGTGTGCTTCATTAGAAGAACCAAAACACATAATGCATATACACTCCACTCCCCCCAGCCCCAAGCATATGTTGGATGAAATATTGCCCTCCTGAAATCAGTGGGCGTTTGACTCTTAGCTTCAGGAGGCCAAAATTTCAACCACTGTTCTGTCTCTACAGTTTTTGTCACTTTTCTAGTGTGTCTTCCAGGCAGGAAAACTTTCCCAGGCTAGTCTTGACGGGGACATGACTTTGAATGGCTATTCCATGGCAGTACTCCTCTCCACCAATTCCACTACCCTTTGCCTGCTCACTGATTTCAGTAGGCAGAGCTCAAGTCTTTGTGAAAGCATCTGGCTTGTTCCCTTTTAGTAGTTTACAGGGCTTAAAGCAATAAAACGTGCCTTTTGAATATATATGGAAAGCAATGATTTTTTTTTTCCACTTGAAATGCCTCCACTTCATTTCTATTTCAGTTTATATTCATAAATTCCAGAATATCTGACATCATGTGTGTAACTAGTACGTTTCTTTTAGTATTATATATACTGGACACAGAGGTATGGAAAGGAGAAAGAAAACATGATTAGTGTAATGGGCAGGCTTTGCATTGAAGACCCAACTCATAATTGGGTGGAAAGATCATCTGCTACTGTTTAGTCACAAAAAAAAATGCCTTCCTGCTTCGCCACTTCAAACCTTCGCATTTCGGATAGAATTATATTGGAGAAGCAAAGAGGAAATAAAAAAGAGAATTGTAAGGCATGAGAGAGGAGCTGCCGTGATGGGTGCAAGAGATTTCAGCCTGAGGTCACCAGTGATGAATCCAGCCCAGATCAAATTTTTATCTTCTGTTCAGTGTCTTCCATATGAGATCAACTTGTGATCTTAGCAGTCTTAGTACGTTCCCTTGAGAAGTGGTTCTGAAAGGTTTAACAAGCTGTGGGAGCCTTTCTGTCAAATAACTGAATATCTCAAGAGTGTAATTTTACCCCTGCTAGAGAATTTTTGATTGACTTAAAAAACTCTCTGTCAAAAGGATGTTATTGGCTACTCAATATTATAGATAAGTTTTAGTGTCACTACTGCTCTAGTTCTCTATGTTTTCTTTCTGGTTTATACTGTATTTTTAACGTCTTAGTAGGACAGAGGTGAAAATGGTGCCCCGATGATGTCAATAGAGAAAACTCCTCTTGCTCCTGTGGAATGGGAATTATGGAGCAAGGAAGGAGACAGAGATCTAATGTACATAACTAAATATCCATATTTCAGAAACTACATATAATAACCCTGATTATATGGGTGTGTACCCAAAGATTCCAAGTGTACACTCAAGGCAAATTCACATGTGAAAAATACCCTTCCCACACTGTTAATGCAGGGATAGCCTATAAGGAAGATAAAGTCTGTGGGACATGCTGTGGTCCTGATTATCTCACAGGGGACCTGCTTCAGTGTACTCTGGCTTCTTCTCTGTGCTCTCAGGTTTCTGTCCAAAGGACAAGATCAGGTGCACTTTCAGGGCTGGGGCCAGTAGCAGAACACAGCATCCTGCCTGTGTCACTACCACCATTGGCACTTGCACAGGCTGATGGCAACTGCCAATAAGACAGCAGCTCCCATGAGTTTGGCGTTAGTGGGAGGCAAGAACTGGGATCTCTTGCCTTTCATGGATTTTTCTATCTCTGCAGCAGCCTTTGTTGTGCACCTTTTGTCTCATTTGCTGATCATTTGGGTTAGAACAGCCTGTGAGCTATTTAATCCTGATTTAAGGACCTCTTTTTCTACGATCCAGCCAATATTCTGCCTTTATCCTGACTGTCCTGGGATGATAAGAAGTCATGATCCAAAATGGATTTGTGCTGTTTATGAATGTGTTTGGAGTGTATGAAAAATTGCTTACAGATGTGAGGTTCACAGTCAGAATTTAGGCTGCAAGCCATGTGTTTTGCCACACACAGATAAACTTGAAAAACGTTGCTCAGAGGAAAGCTGATACTGTCAGCTCTAAAACTTTTGGAGATTGTCACCTGTGTGGTTGTCTCAGACTATCTTTTCCCTTCGTCTGATCTGCACAGTTTTTCTAGGAAGTCATGGTTTGTTTTGTGCAATGCCTGGCCCAGAGGCTTTAGTGAAATTTGTGAGTTCAGTGATCTTTTCCAGTGAGGCCAGTGGATGTAGGACCCAGCAGGATTTGAGCTGATTGTGAAGTGATTGGAAGTACATCAGAACTGGCAGTGAGTTACAGCGTTGCTTCTCTCCCTTAGATCAATATGTACTGGAACTGCACATAAGCTTTGATCCTGACCCAGTGCACTTACAGCTATAATGGGGTTTATGAGATGGCCATGAAATATTTCTGAATTTCCCATTTAGTTTCTTTAAAAAAACTAGTTGAATTTAGGAACAGAGATTTTTTTATTTTTTTATTTTGGAATCTCACTCTTATCTTCAATATATCTGGGGACTGGTTTCAGTTTTGGGCAAGGAACATCTCCAAAAGGTAGTGGTATCTTCTTAACCCATAGTGAATACAGTGGAGACCTTTCATGAAAGGAAATTACTTGGGCCAGTACGTCTTATATATACATGCAGAAAGCTACAGAGATTTAATCTAAGGTGTAGTTTTATTTCAGTTTAGTGAAATCACTACAGTGAGCTTTAAATTAGCCTTGTTTTGTGTTACTTTTAGTCAGCTGGGAACAAGTGTAAAATAAGTCTCCAAGAAACTGAAACAACAGACACTTCTACAGTTCAACTACATTGGTTTAAAGCATGATTTAAATTAAAATAGTGCAGCTGCTGCCTCCAGACAATACCTGCAGTGCTGGAATTTCTTGTCTGTTGTTCCCTCCATCGTTTAATAGCTGTCATTGATAGTAATCCTAGAAGGGATTTTCTTGTCATCTACTTCATTCTCCTGTGTATCTCAGCCCTATCTCTGTGTTGACTGGCATTAGGCAAAAGCTGTCAGTCCTCAACGTAGGACTCAACCTGTACAAATTCAGCCATCCTGAAGTTACATGTCTAACTGAAACTAGTCATCTAGACTATCATCACAGAACAGGGACGGATATTTGCAGAATCCTAGAATGGTTTGGGTTGGAAGGGACCTTAGAGATCATCTAGTTCCAACCCCCCTGCCATGGGCTGGGATACCTTCCACTAGATCAGGTAGCTCAAAGTGGCCTTGAACAATTCCAGGGATGGGCATCCACAACTTCTCTGGGTAACCTGTTCCAGTGCTTACCACCTTCAAAGTGAAGAATTTCTTCCTTATATCTGACCTAAACTACCCTCTTTCAGTTTAAAGCTATTACCCCTTGTCCTATCACTACATGCCCTCTCCAGCTTTCTTGTAGGCCTCATTAAAGTACTGGAAGGCTGCTAGAAGGTGTCTCCAGAGCCTTCTCTTCTCCAGGCTGAACACCACCAACTCTCTTAGACAATATTAATAGGAGAATCACGTCACCTGTCTCAGTTATCTGAGGATGGAATGTGTTGGTCTCTTGCTGTCTTTTTTTCTCTTTTTTCCACTGACTCTACAGGAAGCCTGGAAAACTACCTTAGACTAGACTTAACAGCATCTCAGTGACTAGGTTCTGCTTTTTTGGAACATCTTGGAGAGCCACTTCAGCCATTGTCCTGTCTCCAGAGTGTCCCCGATGCTCCTATGTGCAAATGGGAATTGCTCTCCAATTAGCATCTAGCCTACCATCAGTGTAGTGCCTCCCATCTCATTGCCTCTGATGGAGTACTTGTTGGACACCACTCATTCCATGAATGGCTGTGCAAAGCCCTGGCCACTTCAGTGACATATAATTCTCAACCATGCATTGCATTAGAGGATTCAAATATGGTACCCTTGATATATGCGCGTTTGGCACTCTGCCCTCCCAAAATCTCTAAACCCAAGATGAGAGGATAACATCTCTTTACAGGTATAAACCTTCAGCAATTCTTGTATATAATTGCTTGTGTATAATTACCTGGTGTTGATTTTGAGTCTGGCCTCTTTGGGGACTGGCAGAACAAAGCTAGGCTTCTTTGGTGAAGTTACACGAGTTTGTGTCCATGCTAATGAAATGGAACTGAGAAGTGGGATGGAGGGTAATATAAATCACTCTTATCAGCCCAGTTTCCTAATGCAACCTTCTCTGTTGCAGGGTGATCTCCAGAGGACAAACGTTCAGCTTGATTTTGGAGATGGCATTGCAGTATCCTATGCTAATTTCAGCCCTGTTGAGGATGGCATCAGGCATGTGTATAAGAGTGCTGGAATCTTTCAGGTGACAGCATATGCAGAGAACAGCCTGGGCTCTGACACTGCTGTCCTCTTTCTGCATGTGGTCTGTAAGTACCTTCAGCCGCTGGATTCCTTGGGTGAAAAACCTAATCTCACTGATAATCCCTGCAACTTCAGTGGGGCCTGAGAATACCTGCAAACCCCTCTACATATGCAGCTCATGGTCTTCGAAAGGCTTGGACTTTTAGACACTCTTCTATCTTAAGTAAACTTTATTGAATGAAGAGGAAGGGAAGTTTCTTTTAAAATAAGTGTATTTGCAGTCCTCACAGGTACAGAGAAAAGTTTGAAAATGTTTCTCAGGCTTTCTGAGAGGGTCAGAGACAAACATATGAAACAAAGTTTAAATATGTGTTTTCAATATACTTCTAAATCCAAGAGGTTTAGATTAATCTACTAAATTTTGAGTCAGTTGTTCAGGATTTGGGAGCTTACAGTGCTTATTAAATAAAACAAAAACATTATGCTGAGCATACTTCCTGGGATATGAATATACCGAGGATTAATGTGCTACTTTTCATATTTCATGTGTTTGACATACATCCTTGACTTTTCTCTCCTATTTCGTATGTCAATGCAATTTCTCTCCACTTGGCAAATGAGCAGACTCAAATATAGACCCTCCAGCTGGCTTTCTTAAAGCCCCAGGAGAGAGCAGAGGGTGTGGAACGCAGGATGAGACCAGGAAGACCCCAGCTCTTTGTCCTGCTCTCAGGCTGCTAGATCTCTTGCGCAGAGCGCTCCATCTGTGTTCTGATACACCCCATCGGTTTTGCCCCTAATGGTATTCACAGCCATGTCTGCCCTTTCCCTTAGCCTGTAAAAATGTCTTCTACCTTGCCTGTCTTTTACTTGAGCTTTTCTGCTGGAAGGAATCAAGTCAGAAATTTCCAAAACTCAAGAACTTTTTTCTTCTTTTTGATTTCAAGCTCCCTGTGTGAAGGAATAAATGTTCCTTGAAGCTTTTATTATGCTCATAATTCCCTCAAAGTCAATCATGGCTGCATTTAACAACCTGTTATTAGAGTATTAACTGTTTTTTCCTTCACCTTGGGCCATTAGCTGACAAAAGTGATGGTTACCTGGTAATAACGGCCAGCTTTGTATGGATTATCTGATTTTTCTCGCAGGAACTGCTTTTTCGTGGTGAGGATTTTAGAGCAGAATGCAACGAGGGCCAGTTGCTTGGCCAGGTTGTGCTACTCTACCCTCTTCTCCCTCAGCTTCTCAGAGCTCTCCTTTGACTTTTATGGTGTTCTTAGGTGGTCAATTTATTATCAGTATCTCTAGGGAAATATTTCGCAAGCATTTACATTCATGCTAGCACTGAAATAAGATGATACCTCAGTACTAGACTTCTAATATATTTGGATGTACTAGTCAATACAGAAGGTTTGACCTTGAAGCTCAAATGTACAGATATAAATGCCTGCTATATAAATCAGCCTTATTATACCATCTGTCTGGTGCTGAATCCTGTGCTGAAAAAAAGAAGGAAGAAGGTCCTTGGCCTCAAGCAACAGTAGTTTTCTACCCTGCAGCTTTAACAGTGATCAGTCAACTTTTCACCTTTCTGGAATCTGCTGTCAAGCTGCTCATCCCTTCATCTTAGAGGAAGTGAAAATATGAGTATTTTTTGTCTCACAAGCATTGTCATAAAAAATTTGAGAGACTCTGCTATTCTTGGGAACCCAGAGTACTCGCTATGGTCAGATTTCAGGAGTGACTTGCTGTTAGAGACCCCTTTGGAAAGGGGAAACTAAAAAGAACAAGTTCTTAGGAGCTGAAAACAATAATAGAGTCCCATACTGCTCGGAGCTGTATGTTCTGGTGGTAAAAGAACAAGTCTTGCTCTCCAAAATCCTTGTAGTCCAAGTAGGTGGAGAAATGATTAATGTTCCCATTTCATGCTTGAAAAGCTGAGAGGTAATGCAAGAAAATCGTCTCAGTTAAAATCAGCAAATTTCCTGCTTCCCAGAATTAATGTCTTATCCAAAAAAACCCCATCTCACTTCTCTCTTATTTCATCCTTTCCTTCTCACAGGGATAGTCTATCAGTTTTCTATGTTTTAAAAGATATCATTCAGAAAGACTCAGTTGTTCAGCCTGGAGAAGAGAAGGCTCCGGGGTGATCTTATAGCAGCTTTCCAGTACCTAAAGGGGGCCTACAGGAAAGCTGGAGAGGGACTTTTTACAAGGGTGTGTAGTGATAGGACAAGGGGCAGTGGATTTAAACTGAAAGAGGGCACATTTAGTTTAGATATAAGAAAGAAATTCTTTACATTGGGGGTGGTGAGGTACTGGAACAGGTTGCCCAGAGAAGTTGTGGATGCCCCATCCCTGGAGGTGTTCAAGGCCAGGTTGGATGAGGCTTTGGGTAACCTGGTGTGGTGGAGGATTTCCCTGCCCATGGCGGGGGGGATGGAACTAGATGATCTTTGAGGTCCCTTCCAACCCTAACCATTCTATGATTCTATGTGCAGCAATTACCAGCTGAAATTCAGTAACAGTAAAAACAAACAATTCAACAAGAAGGAAAACAATGGAGATAGTAAAAGCTTTAAACAAACTAACAAACAAGACCAGTATTTTTTACACGTTGTTTCTTCTGGAGAGGAACTGGTGGCTTAGTTCTGAACCTCATGCACTAGACTCATTCTGGACATTTACATTTATTAGACAAAAATTTGCATTGCTATTTTCTCATTTTTTAAGTTTTTCAGAAACCAATTCTTCTGCCTGCTAAATGCTTTGATATGCCAATGCACACATCTTTCAAGTAGTTCCTACCTTTTTACTAGTGATAACTGACTTCACAAAGACTTTTCAAGGTCAGGCAAAGTTAAAAAGATACCAAGTATTTCCAAAATCATGACTCTTTCTTTTGGATACTGTCTAAAGAACTGTCAGGGAGTATTTAATCAAGTAATAAATGCCTAATATATAATCAGATTTAAATAATCTTGACTGAATTGATTTTCCCACAAATCTTGGGAGTGGATATATTTTCAAGAAAACACCTTCTTTCTCTCATGTCCTATTCCTCAAGCTTTCAATAGCAGCTTGACCTCTTCAGAGCAAAGCCAGATCATTGTTCTCCCTCAAACTGCATTTAAGAAATTCTTCTAAACACAGTGCTCACCCTGCCTGAAATTAGCACTTTGGAAAATGTGCGTTTCTGGCTCCCCTAGAATTAAGAGTGAGAAGACAGTGTGTGATTTTATGTTTGTTAATCATGTATCTTTTTCTTTTGTTCATTGACTGCTGAAATTGTCTTGTATTGCTATTATAGAGTCTCACTGCTGACATGAGACATTTGATTTATTTAAGGGAAAGATCCTGTCTCGTTGCAACTGCATGAGGAGGATTTAACTCACAGCCTCTAATCATGAACTCTCTTTTCCCACAGGTCCAGTGGAGCATGTCCATCTCAGTGTCCCCTTTGTCGCCATCAGAAACAAGGACGTCAACATCACTGCAGTAGTTTGGCCCAGCCAGGCAGGCACGCTTACCTACTTCTGGTGGTTTGGCAACAGCACCAAGGTACAGCTGCCCTTTGGTTCGTTTTTACTTCCTAAGCTTGTTGCACCAGACAAGAACTCTGTTCAGCCCTAATAAAAACTTCTTGCCTTTGCTCGTTTTGTGTTTTAGTTTTTTCCTTATCTAAAAAGAGTTGTGATTATCTGAACTTCAGCCTTTGTGAGTTGATTTCCTCTTGTCTCGTGTTGTTCTTAGGAGTCATTACATTTTTACATTGGGTTGTTATCAGCCCTACTGAGCTTCGAAGACCACAGTTATTACCAGTGTTCACTTGCAACTTAACTGAATTATATATCACTATATATGGGAAAATACTGGCTTTCAACACCGTGTTTAAAAACTGCTGGTGTTCAAGAAACCGTGGAGGTTCCCATTATGTACCAGTATGCAGTATACAATGCTGGATTCCAAAACAGTACTTTAAAGCTGTTGGCGTTCAAATAACCAGTTGTAGTAGAATGTCGAGCTAAACTGTCAATGGATTGTTTGTGTCCGTCCGTGTCCATTGTTTGCAGTCTTGGATATATTAGAGAGAGAGAGATGAGACTTGTTTGTAGTGAATTTTCAAATGATTGGCAAAAATTTATTATAAAGAGCTTTTTTAACCAATAATTAAAGTGGTCATGCTTTCAAATGAAGAGAGCCAGATTATTTGTTAGCTACAGTTTTTATTGCAGGCTTTAGGAGAGAGACAGCTGACGCACAGGCACTATCCTCCATTATTACAGTTGTGAAATGTACAGCTGATAATTTTGCAATGTAGTATCTGCTGTTATTTACAAAAGCAGTTTAAGTCACATCATTGTCTACGTTATTGAGTTGCAACTAAAGGTGGGCACTGATATGAGATCACAGGAGAAAAAAAACAGGATTTTACATGAAATGTGGAACTTGAGATAAAAGATAGCAGGCACACAAGTATTTTATTTGAGAAAGCTGCTTGCATTTTAACATCTTACCCTAGCTACCAATAGTAGCAGGAGAAAAAAACCAAAAGAGTAAACGCTGTGTCTTCTGGGATTTTACAGCAAGTTAGGAAGCTTACTGTAAGAACTCACCTATTTTTGTGGAAGCATAATTGAGGCACCAGAAGAGCTCAGGAACAAAAACCCCTTACTGTAACGTGTCAAGTTGCTGTGCCCTAGCTGAGCTGTGGCAACCACCCACATACACACATCAAGTCCATGACAAATACCAGGTAATTCCACGTATTTTATATTGCACTAAAAGAGGGGGATGCAAAATCACATTACAGTTCAGGTATTTTTAGCTCAGTGCTCACACATGGACAGCCATTAAAGTACATCTGAGACGATTTAGGTACCGTTAACTTGATCATCTGCTTAAGCCCTCCACTGTACCCAGGTGTCAGAGTTTTCCTGCCATTGCTTTTCTTTTGAATATAGAAGTTGGTTGTGAATAGGGCCTTGAAAAACACTTTTTGAAATAGAAAGTGATCTAGAAAAGGTAGATCAAAGCAGTGGTGTTTGCTGAAGTTTTCCATGCAGCTCTCATGGTGCTTTCATCTGGGTTATAACTATGATCCATTATCTGTTTTATCTTCTAGCTTAAATTTCAAACCCATAGGCAACAGAGTACAAGCAGATACGGATGTGTTTGGGGTGGATGCTTTGCATGTAGCTGTACAGGGAGTACTTGATCCTGATGATACCCTGGAGTGATTGTACATGTTGCTAAAATATGTTGAGATGTGGATTAGTAAAGATGGTGCCACTTAGCTGTGGCCAAATCAAAGACCCAGAGCACCTTTCATGCTTTGCAAATGATTATCTCCCCTACCTCGTGAAATGCACTTCAACTTCAACTCTGACAGAAGTATGACAAAAGATATAGACATAACAGCAGCCTTTTTTTTCAGGACAACAGTCTACATAAAATCAAAATTCCTTTGGGGATGTTTAATGTACATGTCAGATCCTTCTCTTTGCCCACTCACGGGCAAACTGTGGCGCGCTTAGTACAGGTGGAAGATGGGGACACTGACTTGTGTGTGAGTTACAGATGAGGTGTGTTATATTGTGCATAGTGACTGGTATTATTAGGTGATATATTCTGGTTCCAAGCTGAGGGATTGCAGCTTCTTTTCCTCTTCAGCCTGTAGGCATCCCAGGCAGAACCAGATGTGTCTTGTGTCACTCTGCAGTCTCACTAAGGTACTCTCTGTGCTGCTGCACAGGTGAATGTTGTCTTAGACTCAAACGATGTGGCTAAGGCTCTTCTGCTGCCCTCCCCACCCTGCTGGAACCATTGTACTGAATTTCTACTGTGCTAATTTTTGCAGTATACCTGAAGGCCAATTTGCTTGGATTAACACAGGTCCAGTTTAATAAATGTGTCCAACTGTTTAATAGGTTTGAGCAAATGAACCTTAAACTACTTGATTTAATTTAGAATTAGTTTCCAGGTCTTGGTGCTTGAATTAAAATTAAGGAGTTGGCTGAACGTTGAAACTCCATGATGGAGGTGAAATCATCCATGGTAATGGAATGTCCAGCATACACACATACCAAAAGGAAAAATTGTAATTTTAAAGGCCAGAGTAGTTCCTGTTATCTGCCTTTGCACAGAATCACAACCTGTAACCTCCAGGAAGATTGCTAATATCATGCAGTTTGATTATAGGCCCATTCTGCTTGTCCAGGATGTGTCCATGTCTAACTATATGATAGGTAGGCCTCCAGGGCTAGCGCAAGCTGGCACTCTTGCTGACTTGGTCTGGGAGTCTCCTGGGGAGTCTCCTGTGATCAAACAGATATTTTTTGCTTTTGCTACTGCTTTTTCAACTCATGGAGGAGGCAGTAAAAGGCAGGTGGCATTCTGCAAGGAGGGAAATGTGTTTGCCAGCCTGGTGTATGCTGGTGGTGATTTTGATTTAGCTATGAAAATGGCATATATGGCCACTGTTGTGAAATTCAGGCTGATTGGCAGTCCAATGGGATGAAGCGTGAGAGCTGGAAGGTGAATGTTGAAGAGTTTTCCTCTGGAAACAAACTGTCAGTGTGGTGAAGGGACAATAGCAGTCGTACAATGGTTTTATCTGTGGTCTTAGACCTCTAAGTGCTTTTGCAATAGAGGCTTGTATCACCGTTTCCATTTTAATGGTTTAATCTAAACAAAGAGATTTGTCTATAGACCAGCTGTCAGATCAATGGCACTGCAAGGGCTAGACTTTTGATTTCCAATATGCAAATCTCTTTTCCCAAGCATGGTACACTTTTCTCATCTAGATGTGTATCAGTATGAGAGTCTCCTGTGCAAAGAGGAGAGCTGTAGAGCTATCAAGGGCATTTTTGTTTGAGAAGGCGCAGATAAAGCCAGCCTCCTCTGCCAGGGCTCTGAGCTGGCTAAATGTAGGTCAACTTTACTCTGGAAACCATTCAGCCACATTCAGGCATCAGTGACGGCAGGTATGACACCATGCGTTCAGCCTTGTTAGCATGATTTGCCAGCTTATGGTTGGAGCTAGCTTACAGGCTCAGAGCATGGACAGGGCAATGTTGGGTGCCCTCACTCTGTCCTGAGCAGAGCTGCTCTGAGATAGATAGATGGATTTGTGCTCATAAGAGCAGGGGCTGGTCCTGAATCTGAACAGTAGGGATTGTTCAAAGAAGCATCTGCATCTTCAGTTATATTCAAATGCGGGTTTGAGCTGGACCCTGTGTTTTGCACAGCTGATGTAGCAACTGTGCTGAGTGCGTGTGCCTGTGTGTGTACAACACTGCGTTCTGCAGCGCGTATTCTGCAACTGCTGACTCTGCTCTACTGAGGTTCTCGTAGCATAACGGGTTGCAGTTCAGTGGAAGAATATTTCAGGAAGCGTTTACTGAAGTGAGAGAAACCTTTGCCAATGGGGCAGTTCTCACTGGGTGGTGTTTGGGCCACATTCAGGCCTTAGTAGGATATGCAAGCTCAGAGCACCATTTCTGTATCCGGGAGGAAGGATATTGTGGCGTGGTTGATTGATCGGGTGCATGTTGTGATCCTGAGCTAATCTCATCCTGATTTTGAAATTACCATCTGTGTTTACCTCTTGCAGCCCCTCATCACCTTGGAGAGCAGCGTCTCATACATCTTCGCTGCGGAGGGGATGAACACTGTCACTGTGCAGGTTTCTGCGGGCAACACCCTCATCCAGGACACCAAGGAAATCGCAGTGCATGGTACCCTCAGCCTTCTACAATCAGATCTCGGGGGGTATCTAGAGGTGAAGAAGAGACAGTCACTGCTAATCCAAAATGAAGTCCCTAGTGCCCAGGGGAAACTCTAAAGACAAACTGCAAACAAAGCAGCTCAGATGTGTCATGATCACAAAATACAGAAGTGAATTGGATGGGGCAGCTAGCCAAATTTGTGAGCTCAGCACTGTAGTAAAGTGGCTGGTGTCTCCTTTGCCTATGGGTCTGTCTGTACACCCTGGCTGGACTCCTAAAAGAAAAAGCACATGTAGCTGTAGGCTGGCTGCCTTCCCTCTGCTTCCTAGCTGTGGAAGGAAGTAGTCGTAGTGCATCATTAAGGTGGCCTGAATACGGCTGGTGTTTCTCTTTATACAGTGACTGTACAAATGGAAGGGGTCTGGAAGACAAGGGGCAGAAATGACTCTGTTGTTAGTATCTCTGCCCATTTTCCATGCCACAGCTGGAGATCTGAGTGTGTCCACTGGACTTCCCTGTAGGTAATGTTTGGTATGTTCTGGCCATATCTGCATGTCATGGGCTTCAAAAATCACCCTTTGGCAGACCACAGAGCTTACCCAGTTTGGGACTTGATAAAAGCTGAGTGGAAGGGCTCTCTCAGCAGTTTAAAATTTCTCCAGAGAATAATTTCCACCCTGGGCTAGTCTTCATTTTTCTTATCCAGTTCTTGGCATCCAGCATTTGAGGGCAAGCTTTTCTTTGAATAGCAAGTTTTATTGAGAGACCCAGGCTTCAAATAACTTGAGTTGCACTGTGTAGTTGAACTGTGTGTGTCTTGTTTCAGTAATTAAATATAAATAAATGTCTTGCGGGTGACTGGAAAGCTGTATGCTCAGAGTTAACAACCAGCTAAACAGATATTTATTGATTGCCTGGCTGTGAAATGCAATAGGTTTTAATAATTTGTTAATATGATTTAGTAATACTCAAACTCGCTATTAGCAAATGTAAGTAACCTTCTCCTTGATCATTTTGAGCATTGTAAAATGCAGTGTTTGCTCCTGGGAAACTTGCATCTTTCCACTAGTTTCTGAAATAAACCTGAATCATGAATATCTGAGAGGAGTCACTGCAGGTCATCCCAAACTTTGGTCCTGGTAGGTCCCACAGAGCACTCCTCACTCTCTGTTTTTAAACACCTTGTAAGAAATTTTGACATTCTGTTTAAAAGATTCAAAGCTTTGGGCTTTATCACAAAGATAAATTGATCCACTTGGAATGTCCAAATAGTCCCATGCAGCGCCATGCTGCAGACTGGCCTGGTCTAAGGAAGGAGTCCTTCCAGACCTCCCAGTCTGGTGATCAGTTCAAGTCTATGTACATAAATGAGTGACACCTTTGGGTAAACGTGCTCTGCTAAATTTGTATCCTAATCTGTGCCCTGTATTAAGTTATTATGGCTCTAGGTAGGAGGGCATAGCTTTCTGGTGTTAGCAGTGAAGGAGCTTTATTCAGGGTTTTCTCAAATGGTGATTAACAGGCCAGAATTTACTCAGAAAATAAATTGGTTAAGCCTTCAGAACTTGAGAGCAATTCCCTGCTCCCTTTGATGCTTGTTTTATTTAAAAATATACTGCACCATCTAAAAAGAAAGAATAGATCTTGCAAAAGATGCAACATAAATGCTGTGCAGGCACATCCGTGCTGTTCCGTGGATTTCCTCATTTATACTCTTGCTGGTTTATCTTGATCTAAAACTGGTACCTTCTTACAAATGATTAATGGTACTTACGTGAAGTGTCTGAAGATCAGGTGCTTCCAGGTGAGCCACAGCTCATCTCCAAAAACAGAAGAGAGAGTCTTCTACCCTGAGAACTTATATCTGAGTGTGATTCCTATCCTGGATCTGTGCCTTTCACTGGCCCAAACCTATTGTGCCCAGTTATCATAAGGATTCCAGGCTTGGTCTCTGATGACACCAGAGAGGAGAGCTGGAATTGGAAAAATATTTAAATTGTGTTGTATTTGAAGTCGAGGAAGTTTTTCTTCCTCCCTGCAATCAGTCAATTAGGAAGTAATTTCAAAGTGTTTCATGAATAGCCGTTGCTTGATTAGCCACTCATTAGCACCACTGGGTTCTGATTTATTGGGGTATTAACCACTCATGGCTTCCCTCCAGGAGAGCAAACAGACTAATACCTGTTTTTGAAAACATTACTTACAGTAAGTGTTTGTTCTGCAGAGCACAATGCATGCCATTGCACAGACCTTCCAAATGCCATCCAGATGTCACCTTATTTACTGGTCAGCTTCTTTATAAGCAGAATCTGATAAAGTTGAGTGGCAAAATCACCAAAGTCCAGAAGCATCATGAAGGGAAGGCATCCTCTCCCCTCTCTCATTCTTGCTTTCATTTCTTCTGGGAACAGCCACAAGTTGGCATTAGGGCAAAACATCCTTTATAAAAACCTTTACAAGAATTCTTTCCTTGCAAGCTTTCTGTCCTGCTTAGTGTTAGCCAGCCCTTTTTCTTCCTTCAGCCTTTCCTCTCTCACTTGCTTTAAGTTAGTTTAACTATGGTTTTCCTGTTGTCTTCTGCACCGTTGGCTGTACCCTGAACACTGCCCATTTAATCTTCTCATAAGTACTGTTTTTCTTTTCCAGAGTATTTCCAATCTCAGCTCCTGTCATTTTCTCCCAACTTGGACTACCATAACCCTGACATCCCTGAATGGAGACAAGACATTGGAAAAGTCATCAAGAGAGCTCTAGCACAGGTGAGCATCTGTTTTCTCATCTGTACTAACATTGACTAGGGTGTTAAAACATGCACTTTCTCAACATGCTAGCTTAAAAGAATGAGAAATAACAGCAGTAATGAAGCTATCATTTTAAATCGATAAAAAGCTTCTTATATGCTGGATCTTTTTACAGAGGCAAAGTATATTGGGAATTTTGAGGAAATATTATTATTACTTTTATTAATGTTTCTGTGGTACTTTTTAGCTTTTAATACCCCTGAGGACTTTACGAATTCTAGATTGTAATAGTATCATTATTATTCTTATTTTGCCAATTTTATATTACAATATCTACTGTTTTCTACTCCAAACATTTGGGTAGTGTTACTGTGTGTTGTTAAACAGGTGATCCACTTCATCTCTGAATACAGACATTGTAGTATGTTAGATGCATGAGGAAGATATTTTTACCTTTTCCCAATAGATATTTTTCCTGAAACATATTTTTACCTTTTCTTCTAATGCAGCTAAGTATAGTAACAGGTGGACCTTATAAAGCTCTACTCCCTTTCCAACTGGGGCAAAAAATGACGATTCAGAGGGAAAATAAACTTACCTTTAAATTACAGGACAGAGAGACTTCTGTGGGTGGAAGATACTGTCTGTTCCTTTGGGATTAATTAGAATATGTTAACTAGCACTCATGTTCTTGCAGGAAAGGGGACAGAATAATTTATGATATCAAATAGCCAGAGACTTTGGTTTTGTGTGAAATCAGGAGATAGATTTAGGAAAGCTTTTGTGTTTTTTTTACATTCTGCCAAAAATGTATCTTGCTTTTTTGTTGTAGTTGTTTTTTGCTTTAGCTACAGCTGTTCTTAGAAAT